CCATATGATATTTGTCTTTCTCTAAGCTCGCTTAGCATAATACCCTCCAGTTCCATCCAAGTAGTTGCAAATGGCAAGATTTCATTCTTTTTGATTGCTGAGTAATACTCCATTGTATGTATATACCACATCTTCTTTATTCATTCATCCGTTTATTGACATTTGGGCTCTTTCCATCCTTTGGCTATTGTTGATGGTGCTGCTATAAACATTGGAGTGCATGTGCCCCTTCGAAACAGCACACCTGTATCCCTTGGATAAATACCTGGTAGTGCAATTGCTGGGTCATAGGGCACCTCAATCCACTTTTGAGGAGTTCTTAACAAAGAGGTTATGACTTAGGATGAGCTTTTCCAGTTTTCAGATCAAACCAGTCATTTATCCTGGTCTCTGAAATCATGCTAAAGAAGAACTTCCAAAACATTTTAAAAAGCAGAGAAACCAGACCCAATGATTTTCAAAGCTTAGAGTCCGAAGCATTCACAGAGGGAGCAAGACTCAAAAGGACCTCCCAAGATACCTTCTCTGTGTATCATTTAATAGTGACATAGGAAGAATAAAGCTTTAGTAAAATAGGTTTCTTACCTGTTTTGACTCTTTGAGCACCACCTCTTGGTTCTAAGAGTCAAGCAGTGTCCGAGTACTTTGCAGTATATGATAATTTTTATGGGACTTTTTGAGGATGACATAATTTGTCAAGAGTCCACATGCTGAAATAAGCACATTGCTCTAAATTGGGCACATCCACATCTAACTACGTGTAAAACATTGTTAAATGGGATTCTCATATCAGTTCAAGTTTTCCATGCTTAGTACGTGGCGATATCCCTTAGAAGTTGAATAATTTGGTTCTGATCCAGCCTAGCATCTGAAATTGTGTTTCTTCATGTCTGCATTAGAATGTCCTTTGCTTGTTTCACGTGTCACATCAGGATTTGCACACAGTTCTTAGGTTTGCATCTATGAACGTTCAAAACTTACTTTCTGTACAGAGTTTTGCTTCTCTACAGTTTTCCCAGTAAAATGCTCATCATATGCTTGATGTTAACTTTGGGGGTAGGTGTTAGTCTGTTTGCTGAATCTAAAGGTCTGAGGTTCTTGGTGCTCCATCCTGTTTTTAATTCTCTCTGCTGGGAGTTTTCAGTCCAACAGTCTACAATAGCATTTCTGAACCCTGGATTCCCCTTAGAATCTCTTGGGGGATCTGTTAAATATAGATTATGATTAATCTATAGGGGTGAGACTTGAACATCAGTGTATTTTCTAAAGTCATTTTATTTAAAAAATGGTTTTTAATGTTTGTTTATTTTTGAGAGAGAGAGAGAGAGAGAGAGAGAGAGAGAGAGAGAGAGACAGAGTGCGAGTGGGGGAGGGGCAGAGAGAGAGGGAGACACAGAATCTGAAACAGGCTCCAGGCTCTGAGCTGTCAGCACAGAGCCTGACACGGGGCTCGAACTCACGAACTGTGAGGTCATGACTTGAGCTGAAGTTGGATGCTTAATCACTTAACAGACTGAGACACCCAGGCGCCCCTAAAGTGATTTTAATGTGCAGCCTGGTTTGAGAAATATTACTCTAGAGTTAAAAGGGGACATTTTTATGCTATTTCTTTTGGTAGGAATTTACTTCCTTGTTGGATGCCAAAAGTAATTAATCATCTGATTCTATAATGCAATGATACTTCCTGTGTGGCTCTGTTAAATATCTCCCTAGCAGCAGTAGCTTGTGAATATGGCTCTTTCAGCATTTCACCTTCAATATTATGTAGGCTGGTAGCTATCATTATTAGTATAGGAGAGCCTTCTCTAAGACTTGGGCTTCTGGTTGCAGTTACTTGTAAGTTGACTTTCATAGGGTATGTGGGCATCTGTCATCAATATTAAGTTGGAGAAGGACTAATAGACTTTTCTTTTTATTCTAGGTCTGGATTTTCTACGATATGGTTTAAATCTACAGGGTTTCTCAGAGATGCCAGGTTCTCTTTTTTTCTATTTCTCTGATCCCTATACATGCAAGGATTTGAAGGTGCCATATCATCTACTATCTTCATACACAGTGATAGGTTGAAGCTTTCTGGAATAATGCCTGATTTACACTGTCCTGTAGGGGAGGCTAGCTTGGGTCGTACTATCTCTTTCTCCTAGCTGTTGTGTATAGAGCCAGTGGTTGAATTCTGAGGGACAATGCCCTATTTGAGACTGAGAAGCATGTACAAGATTGGCCATAAGAGCAAGAAGCTGGCATGAGGCTAGATTTAAAGGCCTACACAGTTCAACCTTGAACCCAACTCTGCGACCATCCAGAGTTTAATGAACTAGGAAAAATGACAAGTACGTAGATCTCAATGAGTGAATGTGACGTAGCTCTGAAGAATTCTGGAGATAGAGGTCGGTGATTCTAACTACTTTTT